GTCAGGAGTTTAACACCAGCCTGGCCAACATGGGGAACCCCAATCTCCACTGAAAATGCAAAACTTAGTGGGGCGTGGTGGTGCAGGCTTGTAATCCCAGCTACTCGGGCGGCTGAGGCAGGAGAATGGTGTAAACCCAGGAGGCGGAGCTTGCAGTGAGCTGAGATCCGGCCACTGCAGTCCAGCCTGGGAGACAGAGCGAGACTCCGTCTCAAAAAAAAAAAAAAAAAAATTGAATTTGTAGTTTAAAACCTTCCTACAAGGAAAACTCCAAGCCCAGATGGCTTTGGTAGTGAATTATACCAAATGTTTAAGGAGAAATAACAGCAGTTCTCTACTACCTCTTTCAGAAAATGGAAGCCAATGGAATACTTCCCAACTCATCCTAGGATAATAGCATTACCCTGATACCAAAACCTGACAAAGACATTCTTAGAAAACTACAGATCGGTAGTTCTCAGGAACACAGGTGCAAAACTTCTCAAGGAATTTTAGCAAATTCAGCCTAACAGTATGTAAAAAGGACAATGCATTAAGACCAACTGGAGTTTATTTCAGGCATGTAAGTCTTCATTTCAAAGGCCAATCAATATAATTCACTACATTAACATAAAATTAAACCATATGATTACCCCCACAGATCCACCAAAAGTGTTGACAAAATCTAACATCCATTCCTAATAAAAACTCAGCAAAGTAGGTATAGGGTCCTTTGTCTTTTTCTGAGTTCCAAGTCCTTGAAACAAAATCCAACTATGTCCAAATGCCATGAAGGTTTGTGTTGCTGCTGATGTCCGAGATAAACATTACTTTTAAGCTCAGGACGGAGCGGAGTAGCAGAAGCATTTAGATGAGAAAAAAGACAAATTAACTTGTTTAATTCTTCTTAAGAGCCAAAATGCAGGTGTTTCTTGCACAATGTAGTTTCCCTTCTCCTTCCCCTCCCCTTCCCCTCCCCTCCCTTTTTCTCCCTTCCCCTTCCCTCCTCCCTCCCTTCCCTCCTCTTCCCTCCACCTCCCTTCCCTTCCCTCCCTCCCTTCCCCTCCCTCCTCCCTCCCTTCCCTCCCCTCTCCTCCTTTCCCTCCTCTCTCCGCCTTCCCCTCCCCTCCCCCTTCTTCCCTTTTCCTTTCTTCCTTTTTTGAGACAGGAGTTTCACTCTTGTTGCCCAGGCTTTTTTTTTTTGAGGGGAGGTTGGCCGCTCACTGCAAACTCCGCCTCCTGAGTCCAGTTGGATTCTTCTCTCAGCCTCCCGAACGTAGTGGGATAGAAAGCACCGCACCACCACACCCCAAGCTAATTTTTTGTATTTTTAGTAGGAGACGGGGTTTTCACCATTTGTTTGGTCAGGATGGTCACCAATTCTTGGACCTTCATGATCCACCTTGCCTTGGCCTCCCAAATGCTGGGGATTACGCAGGTGTTGAGCCCACCGTGCCCGGGTTTCTTATTTTCTGTAGTCCTGTTTTCTTGCTTCAAGAGTTATTCAGGGAGTTAGCACAGTAATTACAATGGCTTATTGCATAGAAGTTGAGGAACATTGGT